AAAGAATTTGTGAAGAGTAGGAAAGTGTAATGGACCAGAGAAGTTTTTGGTTCTTCAACTGGGCCAGCCCAGAAAATTCTTGGGCTGAATGTTGGTTGCTTTGTATTTCCTCCTTTCTTTCTTTATTTTTATTTTTATTTTTCGGTAAATGGTTGCTTTGTATTTCACTGTATATTTATTTATTTGGGGCAAAGACGTGGATTCTTCACCTGTCACTGGCTGATTTTATTAAACCCAGAAAATTGACAACATGTTTAAGATCCATATTTCCCTTGGATTAGGTTTTTTAATAGCTTTTTAGCTGTGATTAATGACAATTTAACCACAGCCAAAAATATATATAGATATAAAATGATAATTCAACTATTATATTAAAAATAAAATATAATATAATATAAAATGATGTGATTAAGCTCACATCAGTACTGTAAATTATTGAGAACGCCCCACACCCAAGGACAATTATCACGTGCGCGTCGGTGACAACTGCAACTTCAATTATGCACAACTTGATAAGGTCATATCAGTACTGTAAGCTGTACTTTAATTATGCACAACTTGATAAGCTCACATCAGTACTTGATAAGCTCATATTAGTACTGTAAATTATTGAGAATGCCCCACACCCAAGGACAATTATCACGTGCGCGTCGGTGACAGCTGTAACTTCAATTATGCACAACTTAATAAGCTCACATCAGTACTTGGTAAGCTCACATCAGTACTGTAAATTATTGAGAATGGCCCACCCAAGGACAATTATCACGTGCGCGTCGGTGACAGCTGTAACTTCAATTATACACAACTTGATAAGCTCATATCAGTACTGTAAATTATTGAGCACTCCAATACAAGTCTTTTTTCTTTTTGGACCAACTTTTATTTGTATAGGGTGTTTGAGGCATCATGGGTAGGGGTGGGGAAAATCGATTTTCGGTTAAAATTGAAATCGATTTTAAAATAATTGAAATTTTTTTTATTTTGAAAATCAAAATTGAACCAAAATTATTAAAAATTAATCAATTCGGTTATTAATAAATTG